AAAAAAAAAAAAAAAAAAAAAAAAAAAAAAAGGAAGCCTTTTCTTTAGTGACTGTGGGTGAGCCGGAGCAGGCTCGTCCTCTGAGGAGCCAGGCTGAGGCTAGACCAGAGAGCACTAGCTCTGGAGAAGACAGGGCAGGACTCCCCAGAGCTCTTTCCAGAAATGGCTCCCTTGAAAACATTCCCAAGAAGTGAGCTAAGCCCAAAAATTAAAAAGCTCTTTCCAGAAATGGCTCCCTTGAAAACATTCCCAAGAAGTGAGCTAAGCCCAAAAATTTTTTAAAAATAAGAGCTACCCTGCTTTCTACCCAAGCCCAGCTCTCCTAAGCATCTCTAGTGCCCCAGGGCTGCAGTGACCTCTCACCTGCCGCCATGGAAGCCTTTCAATCCAGGCCCAGGCAGAGTGGGGCTTTCCACGAGGCAGTTTTCTGTGGCAGACAAGCCCTGTCCCCTCCTCCCCATAGAAAGCACTTTGCGGATTGCTGTGTGGATGGGGAAGATTCCATCCCAGGTGAAGAAGTCCACCTGGGATGGCCTCTGAGTCTCTAGGAAGGAGGCATCTTGATGCAGAGGAGGAAGTGGCTCTTCTCCACTTTGGGGAGGGGGTCATGGACCCCTTCAAGAACTTGGTAGAAACTGGGGCCATTCACCACTGAAAATGGGACCCCAGCACAAGTCAGGGATCCAGGTCCCAACATCCAGAAAGCGGCAGGAAAAGCCCGGGCTGGAAGACCAGAAGCCTAGCCCTGGCAGGGCGCCTGTGGCCAATCTCCGTGCTGCTCCGGGCTGTTGGTGAGGCCAGGTACTGGTCTTCCCCTCTCTGGGCCTTCCCTGTCCTGTGGTTCTGTGTGCCCTCTGGCTGCCCATGCCTAGCTCCTTACCTGAGCAAGGGCCTGACCCAGAGTTCCTGCTAGGGGACAGGGCGATTGTACTCACCACGCTGCAGGGCTGCTCCCAGGAGGGCAGGTGGATCCCTGGGCTAGGGCTGGACTGGGCAGAGCTGCTTTGGGTCCCTGTCCAGGAGGTGTGGCTCCTGGGTTCTCCCTGCTTTATACAGACGCCTGGGTGTCCTTGCCACCGTGCTCTCTGATTGCTGTGCATTCCTGACCCTGGGATTCCATTGGGGATGCTGGTGGTGAAGGAGGGGGCAGTGCTGGATGCATTGACAAGAGACACAAGCCAAGCAGGATGTGGTCTGATGACCTTTGGATGAGATTGGCAGCATTGTTAACTGCAAATTGTAGGCACAGACCCTCAGGTCCCCTGGCAGAGGCACCAGTGCCCACTCTTAATAATCCTGATGGTCCTGCCTTTGTTAGGTCGCCTCACTCCCCAGAGAGGACATGGGGTGGGCGGATGTCCGCACCTTGCACACCCACTGCCCGGCCGGCCTGACTGCTCTCGTGGGCTGGAAACTCACAGACACCCACAAAACCTGTGGTTGCTAGTCCCCTTTTATAGCAAGGCAAGAAGTTGTTCTGGTGCCGTGCCTCACCTGCCCTGGAGCCTCACAAGAGGTGCACCGGGCAGTGGGGCTCCACTTCCCAGCAGGAGGGGCCAGGGCAGGCTACGCAGCTGGGCACCAGCACCACAGCGCACAGGTTCCTTCCTGTTCCTTCCGAGGCAAGATTGGTCTTCCTCGCTGCTGGGCTCAGTGCCAGGTGTACATTTGGGAATGTTTCCAAAACTCCTCCTGCTGGGTGGCCCTGGGTGCCGCGTCTTTTGGAACCTGGGCTGAGAGTGGTCTCGCCACCTCTTGGCCGCAGCTGTGGGCCTGCAGATGAGGCTGCTAGCCCAGTGTGGGCCTTGCAAGGGCCTGGTGAAGGCTGATACAGTCATGGGCTCCTGGCTGCTCCCACGCTGGCATCCACAGTGGGGACACCAGTGCTTGTCACTCCATGGCCTCTTGTCCCAGGGTTTTCACCTGCTCTGCATCTCCACAGTGAGTGTGGAGCCCTCACGGCCTCCCTTGGGAAAGCTGCCCTGTGAGTGATCACAGGGGCACCGCTGGATCTGCTCCAGGCTCAGGGCTGCACTGCTGGGCAGGGTGCACTTCTCAGGCGGGTGGAGCCCTCAGTGGCCTGTTCACCAACTGACCGAGGGGGGAAGGCGGTGCTCAGCACAGGGGCGAAGCCTTTGCCTGTGGCCCCCAGCCCCTCCCCTCCCCTGCCTGGGGGCCCCACCCTCTCTCTAAGGAGCACTGTGTGAGGCCAGTGGGAGGACCCCAGCTCTGCTGCTCACCTGGCCTAGGTTTTCCCTCTGGGGACAGCAGACAGCGAGCAGGTACTTTGCCAGGTGTGGCTGTCTGGGGGTAGCTGCTCAGACCAGGCTGGGAGCTGAGTATGGAGTGTTCTTCCCAAGTGTTCAGGGGCCCTCACCTGACTGACCTATCACCTGTGTTTGTGGGGTACTGGGATGGTCAGAAATCACCCCACAGGGCAGAGACCCGGGAAGAGACAGCCTTGTGGACACTTCCCCAACCGCCCAAGGAAGGGGCTGGAATCTTCACCCCCTCAGACTACCTGGGCAGGTGTCTGCCAACTGGAGCTAAAGCCAGAGTTGCACTGTCCAGAACCAGCCTTCACCCCTGCAGCCAGGGCCCGCTGCCCAGTGTCTGCATATGTGTGCATGGCCGTGTGTGTGCGTGCGACTGGAGCTAAAGCCAGAGTTGCACTGTCCAGAACCAGCCTTCACCCCTGCAGCCAGGGCCCTCTGCCCAGTGTCTGCATATGTGTGCATGGCCGTGTGTGTGCGTGCATGCGTGCGTGCGTGTGTGCGTGCATGCGGGCACACATGGGAGGTGGGAGACGTGTCTCATTTTCTCCCAGTTGGTGTTGGTTGGTTGTGACACTGGGTGCTGGTTATCCATGGGTGCCCGTGGTGGGTTTCTAGCATGCTGTGAGGCCTTGGGCCGGATGCTTGTTCTCTCTCTGCCTCATTTCCCTCAGGTGTAAAATGAAGGGGTTTGGTTTCCACGCTGTGTTTTGCAGAATTCCTTGGGGACAGCTGTAGAGGTTGGGGAGGGCAGGTGCAGGGTCCATCCCTGCAGGCCATGCCCTGCCCCCATGAGGCAAGCTCCACTTTGCTGTGTTTGACATATTGGGCTCACAGGAAAGGTTCTGCTGTGACAAGCGCCACTGGCCCGGGGGCTGCTTTCAGGACTGAAGCCGGGGCTCTGGGAAGTGACTGCAGAAAGTCCTGAGCATTGGGCACTGGTGCAGGGTGGGGGCAATGTCGGGAGTGAGCACGAGGAGCCCCCGTGTGCCTACCTATTCCTCAGCCAGCCTCAGGTGGCCCTTCCCTGCCCCACAGGTTAGGGGCGCCTGGGGCCAAGTCAGATGTTGGATTTGGTGCCAGACTTCCTGACTCCAGGGACTTGCCAGGTGCCTCCCTGCACCCCACCCCCCCAGGACACCTGGCCCAAAAGGTTGCTTCCAAATGCACTATCTGGGCTCCTTGAATCACGTGGGCTCCCCCCAACTGTGCCACTGTTTCTGCCAGTGCTGGCCAGATGGAAGGACACTTCCACAGCTAGTGGGCAGGGTCCGGGCGGCCTGGAAGCTCGGGGCACCAGTCAAAGAGCCGTATCCGAGCAGGGGCAGCTTTTGCAGCGAAGGCTGGCAGCAGGGAGGTGGCAGAGAGGTGGCAGTGAGAAGATGCTCTGGGGGAGGGAGCCAGTGGGTGGCCATCTCGCAGTCTGCCGGGTTCTCTGGGAAGCCATCCTGAGGGCGTCTGCCACGTCCCAGCGTGGCCAAGCCAAGCAGCAGCCCGGGCTCCTCGAGGCCGCCTGCTGTTTCTCAGCATGGTAGCTCAGATTCAGTAAGAGCAGGACTTGGGTGACGTGGGCCCCTGACTCAGCTCTCGGACCCCTCTTTAGCCACGTGTGGGATCCCCAGAACTGGGTTCCACATCTGGCTCAGCCACAGACCAGCTGCAACCTCTCTGAGCCTGTTTCTCCACCTGACTGGGGACAAACAGGGCCCGCATCATGGGTGGGGGCAGGGGGTTGTGAGTCTCCAAGGACCTCTTGGGGGTGGGTCAGGGGCAGGGGCTGGCAGGGCACCAGCCAGTGGGCGTGCAGGTGAGAGTGCACTAGTGAGAGTCCATGCAGTGGGCGCCTTTGTCGGATGCCCCCTCCGAGCTCCGGAGTGCACTGAGGGACCCTGCCTGCCATGGGAAGCCTCTTCCCGTGCTGGACTGTGCAGTTCGTGTCAGCTCCAAGAACTTTTGTGTGACTGAGTTCACTGCATCTTTCCAACTGGCCCCATGAGCTGGGGCCAGAGCAGCCTGCTGCCAAGGGACCCGCCAGGGAACAGTTTGGTGGCAGCAGGGGTGGGGCAGAGTCAGGCAAGGCCCCCAGCTGGGCAGGTGTGGTCCCTGGGGAGGCAGGTGGCCACAATCACCTCTGTGACTTCTGTGGCCTGGCTTGGGGGTCCCATTGCAGGCATTCCCACCTCTGCCCCCTCCAGCTCTGTCAGAGCGGGCGGGACTCCATGCCTGTTAGGGCAAGGCCACTGTGGAGGAAGAGGTAGTGGGATTCGTGTTCTGTGAACCTGGACGTGGAAACCTCCCGCCACAGGTGCAGGCCAAGGCTGAGTACAGGCCACAGCCACCGCCGGCTCTTCCCGCTGGCCCCGCACGGCACTTCCGACACAGCGAGCACTCAGTAAATATTGGATTTTATTAAATAAACTCAGGGGATTGACACCTCAAATTGGTTTTATGGATAAATAGCCAGTAGGGACTGTTAGTTCTTAATAAAGAGTCTCAGCTCCTCCAAAGTCCAGCCCCAGCCCCAAGAGAGGCCTGCAGGGAGTTTATCACCCTGGGGACCCCAACGGGGTGCACAGATGGTCATTCTGAGCCCTACAGGTGCAACTAGTGAGGTAGGCAGTCCCCATGGCCACCCCCAGACTGCTGGCCAGGTGTGGGCTCATCTATAAGTGTCTTTGCAAAGCCCAGAAGCGGCTCTGCCAAACGGTCTTGTGCAGCCCCGGGGGTACAAAGCTGCCTGGGAAATGCTGTCTGGGTGCTCTAATAAAAACGGTGGGGGAGCTCATGGAAAACAGAGGGGAGCGCCTGGAACATTCAGGTGTCTGACCCACCCCAAGCTCTAATGTGGGGCATTGAATGGGCTTAGAGTCAGAGCCAGGCTGGGTCATCACAAGACTTTATTGGACACAGGAATGCACACAACACTGAGGGCACATAGCCCCTACAGCGACTGTCCCACACTGTGTTTCGCCATGGGTTGCTGTGCTGGCCCTCAGGGTGCCCGCCATGCACTGCCCAGCCTGTGTGGCCAGAGCCAGGCACAGCTGTCTGCACAGCAGGAGGCTAACATGGCCAGCCTCAGGTCAGAACCCCTCCTCAAACCCCTCAATCCCAAGGCCGACCTCAGCCCTCCATTTGCTGAGTCCTTCCAGCTGCTTGGGCCATTCAGAGTTTGGGGACAACTTTCTCTCTGCAAGCAGACGAAGAAACGGAGGCCCTGGGGAGGCCCCAGTCACTCAGGCCAAAGCTTCATGTCCTGTCTCCTGGTCCTGTGAGTCTCCTCCTCACACTCCACAGGCCAGGGATCTGCAGCTGGCCACGGACCTTGCTTATGCCCTGGCCCCCATCTCACGCAGACACGGCGCCCCCTTCCTCCCCTGCCTGGGGCCTGGCCAGCGCCCTGGTTTAGCGGCTGTGGCTGGCAGTTCACGGTGAGCTGCTCGCTAATCCCCAATCTCTGCCTGCTCAGGGACGCACTCCCGGGTGACAGACTCCGGCCCCAGCCAAGCCAGCCAGAGGCCTGTGTGGCTGGCGGTGAGGGGGAGGGGGCCAGGAAGAGGTGGGCACTGGTGATGTCCCTTCTCCCTGAAGACAAACTATAGAACTTATCATGTGCGGCTACAGGGGAACAATGTGAGAACTGCTCCCGGCCCTGTCCTTAGCTCGTGGCTAACTGTGCTGAGGCCACCAGGGGGGGACCCAAGGGTCCTTCCATCCTCTGGGCTCAGGCAAGGCTGAGTGGTCTTTGTTTAACTCTCAGAGATGTACCCTAAGTTTGGGGACAAGGAATGACGCCACTGGCCGATTCCACAGAGCCTACCTGTGCTTGTGGAAAGGACGTTGCAGAAGCTTGTGGGATGGGGGCAACGGCAGGAAGCGCACCGCCTCGAGGTCCCAGTGTAGAGCACCCCCCCTTGGCTCAAGGGAAGAAAGAAAGGGGGAAGGAGCTTGATCAGGTGACATTCGGGTATAGCGGGGCCAAAGGCATCCCACCATCAGATCTCCTGGCCCAGCAGGACACGGTTTGGGTGCAGTGACCATGGGTGCTGAGTAACCTTTTGCACACGCCAGTCCCCTGGCCTCAGGTCTCGGTGGAGATGCCTCTCCCCCCAGGCTTCCCCAGCATCCCCTTCTTCCTAGGGGTCACTCCCATTCCAGGGACAGCCCTTTGCACCAACATCAGACCATGGGCTCCACAAGGCCAGGGCCAGAGGCTGTGGCCTAGAGCAGGCATGCAGGGACCATTGTGCTCAGTGCCAGCCTGTGGAGGGTGCCCATTAGGAAGGTGGGGGCAGGTCCACTGGCCTGGGCTCATCCAGGCTTTGTGCCCATACAGCCAGTGCTTAGTAGGGCCCTGTCCCCTAGTGGTGCCAGCCCTGGCCCAGGAGAGGGGCTGGTGCTCTGGAAGAGACGGGAGAGGGGCCGGTGCTCTCCAGGGTGGCCAGGTGTGGAGGACTGCTGGACCACCAGCTCCTGAAGGCTGCCCTCACCTGTGCCCTGTCCCTGCACCAGGCCCGAGCTGCGTGCATCTATTCCGCAGCCAAGCCCTGGCACGCGGGCCTAGAGCCCCAGCCCAGAAAACCAAGAGGTTCCCATTGGCCTGGCCTAGACCAACGGTGCAGGGTCTGCCCCATCTCCCAGAGGCAGCAGAAATGGGGTGGGGGCTCCGGCGGCCCCAGGTAGGAGGAAGGCAGGAAGCTGGGTGGGAGCTGGGCTGGACCTCATTTGAGATAAACGGAGCAGGCAGTACAGTGGAGGAGGGGACTGGAGACCTCCCAGGCCCACGGGGGCACAGGGTGGGTGGCCTCCAGGGAACTAGCCTCAGCCCTGGCATGTGGTCCCCACAGACATGGCCACCCAGCCCACAGCACAAGCAGCCACGCCGAGGTTCTCTGGGGAGGGGTAGGATCTCCAGGCACCAAGGAAATGGGGTCAGAGGGCATGGTGTTGGGTGGGCCAGAGGAGAAGGGACACTGACCTGGCCTCAGAAAGACGCAAAGGGTCCCCTCTAATTTGCTAAAAGGGAGCCAGGGTGTATGCCCCTGCTCTCTATATCCCCCCAGTGCCAGGATCTGGGCTGGCAAGGTGAGGGGCTGCCTGGTGGCACCATCCAGAGTCAGGCCATGTGGCGACTCCACCATCCTGGTCGGGAGATGGCAGACCCTTGGCGCAAGAGCCAGAGTCGAGGCAGGTGGAATGTGGGGTCGTCAAGTGTGCCAGTCCCCCGTCAGCAGAGGCCAGAGATAATGTTAGCTGCCAAGTCAGGGGTGGGGACAGTGAGAAGGCGATGTGTGATGTCACCTGCCCAGGGGCTTAGTGTCGGGGCTGGCCTGGCCTAGTCCTACCAGAGAGCAAGTCAGCCACGCACAGGTGGGAGGAGAACGCTTCTTCACGCAGGAGGGGGTTGGGGATGGGCTGGGGAATGTGGGGACCCGGGGGCTGGCAGGTGAGCTGGTGGACAGGGCGCCGGCCTAGCGGTCCTCCCGGACCGGCCGGATCTTCATCTCAGAGAACTTGAGCGAGTACTGCCAGCCGGTCCAGGAGGACCACTCGACGCCGTCAGCATAGGAGGCGTGTGCGCCGCGCAGGTATTGCCCATTGAGGTTGGACGTGTGGCAGTTGCGGTACCACCAGGCGCCTCGATAGAAGGCGGCGCAGTTGTTCTCTGAGTGGTCGCTGTCACGGTCCTTGGTGGTGAACCTCATGCCACTGTGCTTCAGGAGGGAGTCACCTGCACAAGAACACACACACAGGTGTGGACACGGGGCACAGGTAAGCCCATGTGTCACGTGTGTGAGCACAGGCACTGACGTGCTGCACACAGACCATGTGCGTGTACTAGACACTCCCCCGGACGTGGGTGTGCACACACGTGTACGTGCCCCCACATATATACACTGATGCGCACATGTGCCTGCACGCCTGCCCCTCCGTGCCCAGCTGTGTCCCTGCGGCTCACGTGCACACACGGTGCCACCTTGGGGGCACCCGGGGCTGTCCCTGGGTCTAGGCAGGCTCCAGCCCTCCTCCTGGCGTTCCCACACTCCCTCTCCTCGCTTCCCTGCCTTCATCTGAGATGAGAAACCCAGCCTGGAGGGGTTCGGCACCACCCTTCAGAGACCCAGCAGGGCCCCAACCCCCCGCCTCCTGATTCCTGGCTCTGTTCTCAGTTTCCGCATCTGCAGAATGGGCAAACAATCCAGTCTGCTGGCTTTGCAGAGGGGTGAGGACCAGGTGGGACTTGGAGGTGGGGATGAATAGCCTTGATCCTGACCCCAGAGGGTGGAAAGGCTTCACTGGGCAGGACCTCGTCTGTTCTCTTGGGTGGGGAGACAGGTGAGCTGTCCCCGTCCTTGTATATATATACCTGGAGCCTTACCCGCAGTGCCCGAGTAGTCAGCCACGGTGAGCGGGTACCCATCTTCCTCGGGGTCCACGGAGAACAAGCCCACGCCAAAGCTCCCGTAGCGGGCATAGGCCGTGGTGTTGTCGAAGTCCTCCAGGTCCACGTGCAGCTCATAGGCAGCCTGCGTGGTCAGGGCGTGGATCCTTTTGAGCCCTGCAGTGGGGGAGAAATGGTAGGAGAAGTTGAGGAGCTTAGAAGGTGACCCCCAGAGAGAACTGAGGAGAAATGAGAGATGAGCTCATGTGGTTGGTGACAGAAAGGGACAGCCACCACCAAGTGCGTGCTGTCAACCCTGGACTACTTCCTCCTCCCTGCAGGCCTGTATTTGGCAGGAAACTGAGGACTAACAGCTTTTCATGTTTAGTTTCCTCTATTCGCTTGAAGTGGGGCTACACTTTCCAAACGTAGGGGGTTTGAGCTGACAGCTGGTACGAAGACCGCAGGTGTCAGGAGGAGTCCCGGGTGATGACACTTTTCATCCCTCACACCCCGGGCTCCAGTCAGAGCCGGATGAGACTGGATGCACTTCCCTGAACCTGGCCCCGAGCTGCTGTACGTGCTGTTCCCTCTGCCAGGACGCTCTTCCCTCACACTCCTCCTCACCTGTTCGTTTCCAGGTGTCACCTCCTCAGGAAGGCCGCCGTCAGGGTTGAGGACCTCCTCTGCCAACCCAGGCGCCCCCCGCCCCCGCAACCCCAGCAGTGTCTGTCCTTCTGGGCCGCAGCTACCTGTTTCCTGCTCGCTCCACCCAGCACTGCAGAAGCTCCATGACAGCAGCGTGTCTGTCCTGGTCGCTGCTGATCCCAGCATCTGGGGTGGGCCCAGCCTACAGTAGGTGCTCAATCAATGCTGGCTTAGTGGCTGAGATGTGGGAGGCGGTGACGCGTCCCTGCTGTCTCCAGGACCTGGCTCTGAACCCACACCTCGCCCCGTCCCACGACCTCCCTCCCTCTGTCCTTCCCCTTCTCAGCTCTCCTGCACCCATCCTGTGGGTGTCATGCCAGCCCCCACCCCCATACTCAAGGTGCTTCCCTGCCGGTGTGATTACTTCTTGATTAAGAGGGTATTTAATTAAATGCCTTACAAGTTATCAGCAGCAAGTGACATTTCATCAGCCTCCCCCTCCCACTTGCCTTTCCACAGCTCCAAACCCCCCGTGGGTCAGCGCGTTCATGCCACCGGGGCACGAAGGCTGTGCGACCCCTCCCCATCTGGCTCAGACAGAAGCCTTCGGTCCTATCAGCCAGGTCCAGGGAAGGGCAGACGTAGCCGGGAGAAGAGTAAGACCTCCTCCAGCATCTCCCTGTGTGGACCCACATTCCTCACCAAGGACCCACGAGGACAGGGGCTTTGAGAGCACAGGGTCTTGCCAAGGTCCCTGCCTCCCCAGTGCCCCCAGGCTGGAGTCTCAAGGCAAGTTGCCCTCCCTCTCTGGGCCCCGGCTTGCACTCCTGTGAAGGGGCCTCAGGGCTGATGTGGAGCCAGGAGGACTTCACACACCAAAGGACAGACAGCAGGTGACAACAGCCATGACCTGGACGGCACTCGCCAGGGCCAGGAGCTGAGTGCTTCTCGCAGATTAATGAATCAAATGGAATTAGAACGAGCCCGATTTCATTAAAGAATCCCTGCAGAGCTCTTGTGACAGTGCCCGGCCACCGCACACATTAGCCAGCTGGCTGCCACTGCTGTCGGATGAGCCCACGACGCGGGAACTACTGTCATCCCTGTGGCACAGTCAAGGGAAAGGAGGCCCGGGGAGTTTACGTGGGCCCGGGTCACACAGCTGGTAAGTGGCAGAGCTGGGACTTGAACCCAGGCAGAAGGGCCCAGACTCTTTGCTCTTATTCATGCCTGACCCAGGACAAATCATGGGATCCAGGAGCAGAACGAGAGGGAGACCGGCCCAGTGGGGGTGCTAGAAGATTCCTTCCCACCACTAAATGGTCGCAGGTGCCAAAGGCCCACCATTCATCAGAGCACCGTTCCTTTGGGTTCGCCCTGCTGGGCTCCTGACGTGCCATCCCAGTGCCTGTGAGGGGCTGCTGGGGCCTTCGGGGTTCCTCCCCGATTCGGTTCACCCTCCTCCCCACCCCTCCTCCCCACCCTCTCTCCATCTCCCCTCTCTGGATTTCTCAGCCCCTGTTGATCTTGCAGCGTTACTCCCGGCCACGTGAACTGCTCCTCCCCAATTCTCGGGGCCCCCAGAATGTGGACCAAGATCCAAGCCCACCATCCCTCAGAGTTCCAATGGCAGAGAGCAGGAAGGAGCCAGTGGATTGAAACAGAAAAGGCCCGCAGACCCCCAAACCTCACACGGTCACCCCAGTGACTTGCAGGTGGATTAAGGATCCGAACCTAAAACAAAACACTACAAAAGCATAAGAAAAAAAAAAGGGGGAGACATTTTTTATAAAACTGGGAGAGAAAAGCAGGCTCTAAACCCCAGAAGACATGAAGAAAAAGACTGGCAGAGGTGGCCACATACAATTTTAAACTTTAAGCAATAACATGACCAAAAAAGAAAAAAAGCTGAAAGATAAATGACTGGGAGCAAACACATATCATGTGCATCAGACAAAGGATCAATAACCTTAATATATAAAGAGCTCCCATAACTCAATAGGAAAAGACAAAATGCTCAGTGAGGTGACCAGGGAGTGTGGACAGCAGAGGGGGTGGCAGTGTGGGGAGGCTGGGCTGACATTCCCGTCAGGACTCCGGCGTCTGCAGGAGCTCATCGGGGCTCCGCTTACATGCTCCCTCCTGCACCTTCTGCCACTGTCGACAGATTTCAATTAAGATGCCGCGGAGGTGGCAGAGGCACCAGCCTTGCTCCAACGGGGTGGGTGGCGATGCTGCACCGGGCCCCACCTGGCTGCCTCCTCCCTATGTCACACACCCACCTGGGTGGGGCGGGGCTGAGGAAGGGTCTCCCCATCCACGTCTGTTTTCACTCACTCAGTTCAGGGTGTAGGTCAAATCCTTGCTGGGATCCAGCACGTGAACCCTGCCAGGGCTCCCCCCACCCGTACATACACACACACATATTTGTGACAAGTGACCTCACCTTTCTGAGCCTCAGTTTCCTCCTAGGTAGGTGTGAGGTGTCGGGGGCTGATATGTGTGGAGCACTTAGCTGGAGCACAGTAGGCAGGCGGTAAGCAGACTATGGTCATGAAGTCCACACTGGGGTGTCTGACCTCTCCTGTAGTCGGGACCCACCTGCCTGTACCAGGGCAGGGCAGAGAGGACCCCTCCCTCATGGACCCCAGGTCTCAGGTAGACAGACATCAGTGACAGCACAGATCACCACCAGGAGCTTCTGTGCACCCAGGGGTTTCGCTGAAAGTCCTCATAGACCTGGGACCCTCCTGACCCCCACGTGGTGCCCAGACCTGGGCTCGGGCCCTTGGGCGGTGCTTCTGCCAGCGGCGGTGGCCTTCACCTCTGCCTCCCTCTCCGCCCTCCCACCCAGTGCGCCCACCTCTCTGTTCCACGCTGCACCAGGGGGACCTCCCAGCCCACCGTGCCTGGGAAGCTGAAGCGCCAGAGGAGACACGGAGCATGCGCAGCCACCAAGGCCACTCGGGTGACATCCCAGCCCAGTGCTTCCCTGTTTATTTTAATGTGTATTAAGACTGTAAACAGAGTGACTGCTAGGGGACACAGGGTTTCTCTTTGGGGGCAAAGAAAATGTTCTGGAATTACCGGTGATGGTTGCACAGCTCTGTGAATATACTAAACACCACTGAATAGCACACTTTGAAGTGGCGAGTTTTGATGAGTGTGACTATCTCAAAAAACGGCCACCAAGAAAACCTCACCCCAAGCCACAACCACCTCCCAAATATATATATAAGACCTCAAACTTGTGATTTTTGAGGATAATAATTATTGTTTAGAATGCAATTAAATAAGGTATGCAAACATTTTTAAATTTTTGAAATTTAAAAGATAAATTTACAGTGAATTTAAAGATGAGTATTAAGTAAATAGTAGTAGTAACAGGACCTTTTTGAGCGCTTATTTGTGCCTGGCACGGCCTGCACCCCGGCTGTGGGGAGAGAGCGGCGTGCGGCCAGCCAAGCCAGGGACCCTGGCTGAGTGCACTCACTGGCCACCCTTCTGGGGTTACACGCTTTGTCCCCAGCACAGCCATCGGGCATTGCTGACCCTGTGGCAGGGCAGTGCCAGGCTCATCCTTGGTCCTCCAGAGGCCTGGGATGGTGTCTAAGCCCCTGCCCACAGTTTGCCTGATCTGGACCATGACCAGGTCCCAGGCTGCCCCAACAGGAAAGGCCTCCTGGCTTTTTACTTCTGGTCACTCCCTACCCGCTTGCCAGGGGAGCGTGGGGCCCTCTGCCTTTCCGCCTTCCTTCACCCGTTCATGCTCACAAGCCCACGTCCACCCAGCGAGCCCACCCTGCCGACCACACTTTGGCTCTGGCCCCGTTCATTCTGAACGCCTTGGTTGCCTTCACCTGAGATACCTGTGAGCTGGCGCAGGTGTGCCGAAGCCAGGAAAGCCCTGCCACCCTCCATTGGGGGGGGGGACCGGGGCCCAGCAGTGTCTGCAATGCACAGGGGTGGGTCT